GAATCATAGCGTAACGGTCTCGCCCTAGACATTCCAGAACGTTAAACTGAGTGGTTATTGAGACCAAATTGAATAGGCACAGTAATTGAGCAAGATGTTTTTAAAGTTCAGAGACAGTTAAACCACCCATAGGTTTATGCAAACTACAGACTACGAATCACTTCCTTTCTTTGTTGCTTCTCGCTTTTCACACTGAGAAAACCTGACCTTGCACATGAACTCTACAGAGAATTGGGCAACTAAATAGTGCAAGTCCTCTATTTGACCTAATGACATATCAAAGACAGTTGGACTGGCAATAATGGCATTGATGGTCAGTGTCAAGAAAGACACGGATACAAAGACAGTGGAGGGAGGAGGAGAAGAATACCAACAGCTTTAGTCTTCATTGTGTTCTGTGACCTCCTTAAAGTCATTAAATAACTGGGTGCTAAGACAGACACTGTGATTTTTGGATCAGATGAAACCTTTTATTCCCTCGTCACATATCATTAGTGTCAAGACACTGGCGATGCTCAGTCAAGTGTATGAGACCTTTATTTTTAGAGGCTCCAAACAGATTTGGGGGAGCAAGTTCAAACATAATGCTCTACAGCACGAAGATGCCATACATACCATTATTTATGATCTGAAATGCATTGGATTTAAAATCAATGCGCTTTAAATGTATCAGAACAGAAAAATATATGTTCTGAGTCTAAATTAAACTAACATCTTTATTAAATATTTATGACTCCTTTGTTTGTCATAATGCTGACACCAAAATCAAACCATACTAAACCTCCCAAGGAAATTTTTTAAATTATTTATTTATTTGCTAGAAATATGACATTTAACACTTTAGACCTATGTTTTTAAAAACCTCCTAAGGTTCCCTGAAGATACTCCAGAGGGTCAGCAGAGAAGAAACCAAATGAAATTTTAATTTCAAATATCAGCCAACTTTCTAATTAATGATCTGCTAAGGAGTAATGACAGTTAAACCACCCATAGGTTTATGCAAACTACAGACTACGAATCACTTCCTTTCTTTGTTGCTTCTCGCTTTTCACACTGAGAAAACCTGACCTTGCACATGAACTCTACAGAGAATTGGGCAACTAAATAGTGCAAGTCCTCTATTTGACCTAATGACATATCAAAGACAGTTGGACTGGCAATAATGGCATTGATGGTCAGTGTCAAGAAAGACACGGATACAAAGACAGTGGAGGGAGGAGGAGAAGAATACCAACAGCTTTAGTCTTCATTGTGTTCTGTGACCTCCTTAAAGTCATTAAATAACTGGGTGCTAAGACAGACACTGTGATTTTTGGATCAGATGAAACCTTTTATTCCCTCGTCACATATCATTAGTGTCAAGACACTGGCGATGCTCAGTCAAGTGTATGAGACCTTTATTTTTAGAGGCTCCAAACAGATTTGGGGGAGCAAGTTCAAACATAATGCTCTACAGCACGAAGATGCCATACATACCATTATTTATGATCTGAAATGCATTGGATTTAAAATCAATGCGCTTTAAATGTATCAGAACAGAAAAATATATGTTCTGAGTCTAAATTAAACTAACATCTTTATTAAATATTTATGACTCCTTTGTTTGTCATAATGCTGACACCAAAATCAAACCATACTAAACCTCCCAAGGAAATTTTTTAAATTATTTATTTATTTGCTAGAAATATGACATTTAACACTTTAGACCTATGTTTTTAAAAACCTCCTAAGGTTCCCTGAAGATACTCCAGAGGGTCAGCAGAGAAGAAACCAAATGAAATTTTAATTTCAAATATCAGCCAACTTTCTAATTAATGATCTGCTAAGGATTATCTAGTGTTGTAATATTAGTTAATGTATATTAATAAAGTTATTATTGTAAGGTATTAGCTCTAGAGTGTTTCAGAGAAAATAGTTTTTTATTGAGGTTAAAAGATGAAAATCCCTGCTCTGGGTAATTAAAACACATGAACAATTACACGTGAAGGCACACATGCACACCACTTCCTTTCTTTGTTGCTTCTCGCTTTTCACACTGAGAAAACCTGACCTTGCACATGAACTCTACAGAGAATTGGGCAACTAAATAGTGCAAGTCCTCTCTTTGACCTAATGACATATCAAAGACAGTTGGACTGGCAATAATGGCATTGATGGTCAGTGTCAAGAAAGACACGGATACAAAGACAGTGGAGGGAGGAGGAGAAGAATACCAACAGCTTTAGTCTTCATTGTGTTCTGTGACCTCCTTAAAGTCATTAAATAACTGGGTGCTAAGACAGACACTGTGATTTTTGGATCAGATGAAACCTTTTATTCCCTCGTCACATATCATTAGTGTCAAGACACTGGCGATGCTCAGTCAAGTGTATGAGACCTTTATTTTTAGAGGCTCCAAACAGATTTGGGGGAGCAAGTTCAAACATAATGCTCTACAGCACGAAGATGCCATACATACCATTATTTATGATCTGAAATGCATTGGATTTAAAATCAATGCGCTTTAAATGTATCAGAACAGAAAAATATATGTTCTGAGTCTAAATTAAACTAACATCTTTATTAAATATTTATGACTCCTTTGTTTGTCATAATGCTGACACCAAAATCAAACCATACTAAACCTCCCAAGGAAATTTTTTTAATTATTTATTTATTTGCTAGAAATATGACATTTAACACTTTAGACCTATGTTTTTAAAAACCTCCTAAGGTTCCCTGAAGATACTCCAGAGGGTCAGCAGAGAAGAAACCAAATGAAATTTTAATTTCAAATATCAGCCAACTTTCTAATTAATGATCTGCTAAGGATTATCTAGTGTTGTAATATTAGTTAATGTATATTAATAAAGTTATTATTGTAAGGTATTAGCTCTAGAGTGTTTCAGAGAAAATAGTTTTTTATTGAGGTTAAAAGATGAAATAAAAAACTTCCTAAGGTTCCCTGAAGATACTCCAGAGGGTCCGCAGAGAAGAAACCAAATGAAATTTTAATTTCAAATATCAGCCAACTTTCTAATTAATGATCTGCTAAGGATTATCTAGTGTTGTAATATTAGTTAATGTATATTAATAAAGTTATTATTGTAAGGTATTAGCTCTAGAGTGTTTCAGAGAAAATAGTTTTTTATTGAGGTTAAAAGATGAAAATCCCTGCTCTGGGTAATTAAAACACATGAACAATTACACGTGAAGGCACACATGCACACACCCTGTTTTCAGATTGTAGGTGTCCTGCACAAAAAATAAAATAATAAAATAAAATGTAAAAAACCTGGTACTTCTCAATATGTAAAAAGCAAACATGACTATGATTTTGTTTAAATGTAGCGTATAAAATCGCGTGGCTCTTACCTCTAAATGGTGTTAAGAATGTGTCCGCACTTCATCCACAACCACTGAACTTACAGTGGTGTAGCGCACCGCGTGAACTGACGAGGGGCAGCGCACGCACATCTTTACGCCACACACGGTCACGTGATCCTCGCGCTTCTGCTTTCTGTGACTGCGGGCTCAAAAGGTGTTTCAAATGAATGAGAAATTAGAAACCTCCATGATGACGCAGCCGCCTATCTAGAAGCATCCTCGGCGCGTTCTGGGTTGTGTACGTGAGCGAATCGAGGGCGCTCAGGACGCGCAAGTGCTACATATCATTAGGTTTTGAAACTGTCTGTATAAAAAGTTTTTTTTTTTCCAGATATAAATGTAAAGTATCAAATAAGTTGGTAAAATAGGCTATATGAAAATGTAGCCTACGTGTCATTGCTGTTATGCAGGAAATATTTTCAATTAAAACACATGAACAATTACACGTGAAGGCACACATGCACACACCCCGTTTTCAGATTGTAGGTGTCCTGCACAAAAAATAAAATAAAATGTAAAAAACCTGGTACTTCTCAATATGTAAAAAGCAAACATGACTATGATTTTGTTTAAATGTAGCGTATAAAATCGCGTGGCTCTTACCTCTAAATGGTGTTAAGAATGTGTCCGCACTTCATCCACAACCACTGAACTTACAGTGGTGTAGCGCACCGCGTGAACTGACGAGGGGCAGCGCACGCACATCTTTACGCCACACACGGTCACGTGATCCTCGCGCTTCTGCTTTCTGTGACTGCGGGCTCAAAAGGTGTTTCAAATGAATGAGAAATTAGAAACCTCCATGATGACGCAGCCGCCTATCTAGAAGCATCCTCGGCGCGTTCTGGGTTGTGTACGTGAGCGAATCGAGGGCGCTCAGGACGCGCAAGTGCTACATATCATTAGGTTTTGAAACTGTCTGTATAAAAAGTTTTTTTTTTTCCAGATATAAATGTAAAGTATCAAATAAGTTGGTAAAATAGGCTATATGAAAATGTAGCCTACGTGTCATTGCTGTTATGCAGGAAATATTTTCAGGCCCACCATCACACCTCGAATTATTGGACAAATATTAAATATTTGAATATTAAACCTACAATTTGTCAAGATTGAAATACTGTTAGTTTTCTTGTATCACATTACCACAGTAAAGTGAACCTAAACCAATTTTTTAATACAAAGAAAATCCAGCATCCATAAAACTGGTATGAAGAAGATTTCAAAACAAACGAGTTGGTTAAAACATTCAAAATTAAAAACCAAAACAACATACTATGAAAATTGCCTTTGTGTGCAAAAACTTCCATTGAACTAAGAATGATAATTACTTTAATTATCAGCGTATTTTTTGTCATAACCCCAAATAATAGGCACCTCAGATGTCTATAATTTGTATGAGTAGTGTTTTCATTACCTGTTACACAGTTTATAATCTTCAATTAAATGTATTATTATCAATGATAATTTGGGGTTTAAAATGATGCAGAATAGGACAATTTCAAAACATATGATACATTTTAAAAAATGCTAAAATAAATTAAATACATTTTGATTAAAATAAATGAAATAAAAAAAATTTAAATTAAAGGTTTCATGATGTAACATGTAGTTGAACAAACTAAAATTTGTGGAAATCCAATGAAAAAGGTTATGTGACACACAGTTTATTTTATGATCCAAAATGACGCCACAGGGGAACTTCCTGGCTCATACTGCTACCATGCACTCAATTTGTGGTTAGAAACCATCCTCCGTTTACAGAAACTGTGTGGTTACCCTGCAATCAAGTCAAATCTGTACTGTCGAAACAGTCAAAACATCTTTAACAGCTTTTATCTTACCAAGATTCAAATCTTCAGTCATATTCTTTTCTTCATACCAGAAAACCTGTATAAACAGTTCAGTATCGTATTATTTTTAATAAAAAATAAAAAAGAGGGGTGAGGAATGTTCAAAAATCCATATACAGGCAAACAAAAAGGTGTGAGGGGTTGAAGAGTATGTTCACGTCAGCAACCACTGATAGCCTCCCTTATTTCTTTAGAAATGTTCACCTGTAGAGTTGGCAGAAGGACACTTGGCAGTTTAATCATACTGAACAGATACATTTGCAAAAGAATCACTCAGAATGACTCACTCCACTGGTTCTCTGAAATGTTCGATTCCTGTGAGGATCTCAGTCCTGTTTGTTCAGGATTAACTCCGTATTAAGCAGCTTCATAGTGTTTTTTGTGTAACATTGTCTATTAAAGAGCTCTGACAAACATCTGCCCACCACTGCCTCGTGTCAGGATCCAAGTGTCAGTTTTTCCATCTGATTTGCTGAAGTAACAAAAAAAAGAACAAAAGTCACTTCACGCAAACACAATTTTGCATTGCAACAAATGAAGTGACCTGTAGAATACACTGATAAATTACTGTAAGATGTTTCTCAAGATTTCTCCTCAAACCTACTCATACTACACTGTGAATCAGAAAATGACTCAACAGTGGAGGCTCACTTCCTCTTACCACGTTATTAAGGAGATCCTGGATCTTCCTGTATTCAGGCGAGTCTCGTTCCAGCTTCTCTCTGTAAACGATAAGCTGCTGCCGGTCCTTCAGGTCTCTGTATGTCTGAATGAACAAAAGAAACGCAGTGATTTACACTGAGAAAGCCGTAAACGCTGCCATAGTGACTCGAGAATGAACTCACATTGATGACGATATCATGGCATTTATATTTCAGAGCCCCGCTGAGTTTGAGGTCTGGGTCGTCGATGAGGTTCACATACTCCTGCAGCACCTGCAGATCATGGGAAAGCCCAATGAAGAGCACGCCGGGATGGGCAGAGAGGAAACTCAGCAGGTTTATTACAACATCGAAACTGATGTACCTGTACAGGGGCGCTGTTCTTATGCAGGATGTCCACCACTCTGTGAAAGCCAATGGGAGATCTTTTCTTGGTGTATCCCAGCCAGTTCTTGGTGTTGAACAGACTATCCACATCAAACCAGGACTTCAACTTCGCTCTTGCGCCAAGAGCCGTGAGAATGTACTGCTTTTCTGAAATCTGCAAACATGACAGGTTACAGTATATGGTTTGTCAGTAAGGGAAAGAAACTCTTTTACATAGACTGTTATTAAAGACTTCCACATGTGCTATTTATACACTACTGGGGCCAGTTGCATAAACATAGTCACTATGTTAAGTCTTAAGAGCTAGTTTCATCAACTATTGGCTAGCCAAGAGTTAATCAGACTTATTTTTGCATTCAAATTAGACCATTCTCCCTTTTTATAACTGACTTTATGACCAAATTAAAAAAAGAGATGACTAACTTTTTAAGACTAGTCTAAGCGGTTTATGCAACCGGCCCCTGGTCTAGACACACTTGAATGAATTTGTTTCTAATGACTGTAGAAACATCTAAAGGTGTAGGTGTTCATAGACAAATATGAAAACTATACTATAAAAATAGTAATCAAGATGGTAAATGTTAAATACAGTTAAGTACAATTTGAATTAAATACAAGTAATTTGATGACAAATGACTGTTTATTTTACCCGGAAAGTTTTTCTAATGTTCGAAGGGCTGCTAAAAGTTCCCTGTAGAAGAAGAAAAGGATGAAAATGATTGAAATACAGTTGCCCAACAAGTATCTGGAGATTTAAACAACACGTTAAAATGTATAAATATCAAACCAGGTGACATTTATTTAAAACTAGCACTTTTCAAAAATCACACAATGAACCTTGTTAGGTTTCAGATTATTTTTAAGTGTGACTTAAGTTTCTAAAAACTCTCTGAAGCTGTGGAAAATTAATATATACAAGAAAATGAATTAGTCAGTTAGTAAATTAATTAGCCACAAAATAAGACAAGCTTAATGTAATACAATAATTATATATAAAATGTATCACGGTTTCTAAAAAAAAAAAAATTAAGCTGCACAAATGTTTTCAACATTGATGTTAATCAGCATATTAGAATGATTTCTGAAAGATCATGTGACATTGAAGACTGGAGTAATGATGCTGAAAATTCAGGTTTGCATCACAAGAATAAATTACATTTTAAAATATTTTCGAATAGAAAACAGTCATTTTAAATTGTTATAATATTTCAAAATATTACTGATTTACAGTATTCTTTAATCATTGCCTTGATGAGACTTCTTTTAAAACCAGAATCTTTCTGACCCCCAAACTTTAAAACAGTAGTGTATATTGCAATACTTCATTTCTAGATTATATGTATTAGAATATATTCAGTTTGTCTGCATAATATTTTACAATACAGTGCAGGAGTGGAGCATGAGCTTGTACCTCTGACTCTCCATAATGGTAAAAGCAGGAGTAGTACAGTGTGGTGATGATTGGCATATTAAGGATGGACGCTTTTCTAGGGAACTTCTTAAAGATTTCTGCAACTGCCTTCTTGTCACTAGCCTGAAAAAATAAATACACAAATGAAATAAAATACAGTGAACACACCAATTAATTGGTTCTGATACACCCTTGAAACTGATACTCCCTAATTAAAACTGATACACCCTTAACATTAGGTTTTCTCATGTCTGACAAGTACTTAGGCCTGCTTCACACATCCTGTGGCTGTGCCACATATTCATTTCAGTGCTCGACTGCTCGTATTAACAGATTTTGAAACTCACAGTGGAAGTGTGAGCAGCGATGCTCTGTGTCTTAGAAGCAACAATGACGTTTCTGAGCTCAGCTTATTATATTTGCCAAATATTATGAATATAGCAGAAAACAGTAAAAAAAAAAAAAAAAAGCACTACAAATTGTTTTATCAACACAATCTTGTCTGTATGAAAAAACACATTACAATGGTAAATAATTTGCCATTTATAGAAAAAAAGGTCTAGGGCTTCAGGCAAGTTACAAAAACAATTTCTATTCAGTAAATCTGTACATTTTATTATCTACCATATTATTAAAGAAACTTTCAATACAGTAACCCAGAAATCACATTATTTTCTGCACTGAGCCATAGTGAGTAGCAGACACAGGATGTGTGAAACAGAAACATGTCAATGACGTATTTAGCGATATCTAACCAGACTATATTCACATTACATAACTGACTGCAAACGGAATCTCACTCTCATACGTGTTATTATGCCATAAGAACACGTTTCACTTGTTTCATAATCTAAGGAAACATCTGCCGTGTAACCCACTTTGAGAAAAGCCTCTCGCTTCCCTCTGTACAGAGAGACCCATCACCTACCACACCACACTCGGGAAAGAGGAAGAGCGAGGAGGTGCAGAGGAAATGTTTCTTTAACAGCATGGTAAGGTGAGGCAGAAATAGAAATGCAGACAAACTTTGTTTCATTTCGTTTCGACATTAAAAAAACCTGTATACACAGAGACAAGAAGTCAGCACGGTCATGGTGTCTTTTTCTTTAGGGTGACATTTGGGATGGGGTCCGTCATTCTTTTTCCAATTCCATTTGCAAGCAGTAGAGAAATGATTGTACTATACTACATTACACAGTTATTATGTAGTTGTACTATATTACAGTACTACATCAACCAGTAAACGGTTTCATTATTCATATACTTCATACACTTCTCATGATCTTAAAAAAACTGAAACTAAAAATTCAATTTTTTTATGGATGACTTTATTGATCACTACACAAAATTCATACTTTCATTAGTTTTATTTCATAATTTGACTGACTTGACTATTATTCTAAAATGTGCATAAGGGAATAATATAATGATATAATATAAGGGAATAATAAACAGTAGTGAGTGGCTGGACTCCCTCACCTCTATGATTATTTGCCTCTCGAGGAGTGTATAGTGGTCTTGAACGTAAGTGGCGTCATCTTGAGAGAAAGGAAGGCTGAGAACAAACCGAGAGATCACACAGATCATTAAAGGTCAGCAGATGACTCTGAACTCTCTGTTGAATCCCTCTGAAAGCTCTTTACCTGAGACAACTTTTGAGGAAGTCTCTTCTTCGACCTTCATCCTTAATATTTAAGTGTTCTTTGTAATGCATCAACTGTTTAAAATATAAAGGAAGCCAGTTTAACGTGTGTGATCAAACAGAAACATTACTACAAATTACTAGGGAAATATTTGTTTCCACCTGTTAACATTAGTTAAAATGAAATGAAAACATTGAAAAATACTTTTAAAGCATTTATTAATCGTTGTAAATGTTAATTCCAACGTTTACTAATACATTATTAAAATCAAAAGCTGCATCTGTTAATATTATTTAATGAACCTGAGCTAACATGAACTAACAATGAACAATTGTATTTTTTATTAACTAATGTTAACAAAGATGAATAAATACGGTTGCAAATCTGTTTATTGTAAATCTACTTATTGCAAAGTGTTACCAAAATTTTTATTAGAATGTCCAACTTCCTCTCTTTTCACTTTCATTTTAGACAAATAATGTCACTGAGGCAAAAGCAGAAACGTGTTAATTTTGTTAAGGCCATTTTCTTCCTCTTTTCACTTCTATGAAATTTAAAGTTATTTATACTTATACTTATTTCAGCTGACATTAACCCTCTATGATGTAGTAAAAGTATGTAGTTATTTTTTTCTGCTTAAAGTGGAAGACTTAAATATAATCAATATTTTTTTATATATATATATATATATATTTTTAATCTTGTCTCAGATAACATACCATAACGGAAATAAAATTATTTCAGTTTTATAGTTGTTGCCTTCAGACAACACTGTACCACTGCGGAAAGAGTACTTTACAAAAATGGGGAATGCAAGACTGTGTAATTTATAGAATTTTAACTCTCTCACAAATTCATATTTCTCATAACTCTCTCTTTTTATTTTAAAATGCAATGTACTAGCACCTGACACTTTTGGTATGCCCTAGTGTGACTCCATTATCTTAAATAATGTTATCGTAACAATCAACGTATGTTTGGATCATCGGTTACAGGTTTACTTTTCACAAGGGAAAATATGCTACTGCAGTACATGTGTAAACATGAAAGAGGAAGTGTTTGCATTTCAATTAGTTAATACTGGGCTCTCCCCTCCTGTTTAAGAAAGCACCCATGAATTGGGAGGTGCATTTTGTTGAAGCGAGTCAAATTTAGTCATATGACCTGGAGGCGGCATTGCTATAGAGGGTTAAGTACATATGGTCATGTGGGTACTGATGTGTGTACAAGCTATAATGACAGTCGAGTATGTAAGTGCAGTTAGTACCTACCGCCATATCTTCTGTCCTGCCAAGAGCCCTAAAATACAGTCATGTGACCAACGTGATAAACAGTTATTCAAATAAAACACACAGCAATAGATGGAAAGATGCCAACCGCCCTTGCACAAAAACATTGTAGACACATCTATTTTTAACATGTTACTCACTACGAGGGGAAGTTAAATATATAAACCGCAAACTTACTTCAGTAACTCGACCAAAAGCTTTTGCTCTCCCATCTCTTTTAAATAGTGAACATAATGACGCAAAGCCACATCTCTCGCCATTAACTCTCGAAAGAGGATTTCTGCCACAATGACAAAAAACAAAAACATGACTTTCTATAAAATATTTCACAAAAAAGAGAAGGAACTGGTGAGATCACAAAACATCTCACCTTTACTTAATGACTTTTTTAAAAATATCAAGACCTGCAGTAGGAAAATGTAAAAGATCAGTGAATAAGGCACAAGCCGTTCCTTCTGATATGAATCATCATAAAGTCATAGCGGCGCTTCCATATAGAGTATGTGAGAGATGTGCGGCTCACAGCAGTGATGACGTTGCCATCATAAACAGCAACTGCTTCATCCAGCAGCAGAAGTTTGTCCTGCAGAGAGCGGAACTTTTCTAGGGAAAATGCCTGTAAAAGAATCCTTTTAATAAGATGCAAAAAGCATATTTTTCCATGTACAAGCATTCAAAAGTGGTCATATATTCTGACAAAATACTTCTTTTTTTTTTTTTTGCAAGCAACATATGAATACGTGACTAATATTTGATTATATTATAGTAAATATTTTACGAGTGTGTGGTTCTTTTTTTTTTTTTTGGAGGGCTCTTAAAAATGTGAAGTGGAAATAACTGGGCCTGCACCTACTTATCAACTACAATGAGAAATAAACAAATGGCTTTATCCTGTTATATCAGACCTCCTGACTTCTCCTTTAAACTGACTTTCCAGTGCAGTATATCTTCAGTATATAGCAGTAAATATACTTTCTATATACAGCTCTTTGCTGCCCCCTACCCGTCCTTTCTGCATTCTCCTCACGGTTTCCTCAGGACTCAGGTCACTGACAACATCCTATGACCATTTAGAAAACAAATCAATGTTAGAAACTTATAGAAAAAAAACGAATTACACCGTGGAAATTTCTGGACAAGCTTACACTATCATTCAAAAGTTTGGGGTCAGTAAGTTGATTTTTTTGGAAGAAAATAATACTTTCATTCACCAAGGATGCATTAAATTGATCAAAGTGACAGTAAAGAATTTTATAATGTTACATTTTCAAACAAATGCTGTTCTTTTGATCTTTCTATCCATCAAACAATCCTGAAAAAAATATATCAGAGTTTCTACAAAAATATTATGCAGCACGACTGTTTTTAACATGTTTCTTGAGCATCAAATCAGCATATTAGACTGATTTGAAGGATCATGTGACACTGAAGACTGGAGAAATGATGCTGAAAATTCAGCTTTACCATCACAGGATTAAATTACATTTTAAAATACATTCAAATACAAAACATTCATTTTAAATTGTAATAATACTTCACAATATTACGGTTTTACTGTATTTTTTATCAAATTAATGTAGCCTTGATGAACAAAAACATTACAACTCTTACCGACCCCAAATGTTTGAACGGTGTGTAAACATGTCCATAGGTATTACCTTTCCATCTGACTTGGGCTTCCTCAGTTCTGGTGCGTATGTTCTAGAAGATGTGTCGCTAAAAGCTAGAAAACAGTGAACAAACACACTTAATTAGAACAAATGAGAATATAGGCCTAAATCATTCTAAATGCTTCAAGGACTTGAACTTACACTCGGAGAAGGACTGGAAAGCACCAGGTTTGCTCTTTGCTGAGGGAATAGAAACAAAATCAGATTGGTGGTGAGTCTATAATGATTGAACTAAAACGTTCAAGAACTCTTCACTGTAGATTACCTTTAAACAGGGAGCTCAGGGAGTATCCAGACCCCTGTTTGGACAGTGAAGGAGTGGTGTCTATTTTGGGAAAGCTCTGCTCACTGCCTGAGCGGATACTGGAGGCAGTTTCCTTCACCGACCAAGAGATGCCTAAACACAAACAAAAACTGATGAGCATCCAGATGAGGTACAGACAGTAGCAGAGATCAGAGAAAGGACTGCATACTTCCCACAGGTTCCCCACTCCAGCTGACTCTCTCAACATCATCCTCATCCTCATCATCATCGTCCACCAGGATGCTGTTCACGGCCCGTTTGGACTCTTTCAGCTGGGAAATAACAACACAACATAGTCTGAGTCAGGGCTCTTTAAACTGTGGGCCACACAGAGAAAATGTGCGGAAAATATAATACAAACATCGTACAAAATACATATTAACTTTAAGAACAGTTTGTGATTTTTAACAATTTCTAAATCTTTCCTCACCACTGTCACCGTGTTTAATTTAATTCATTTAATTTATCCACTTTAATTGACTATTTTCTGTAAACATTGAAAATGTGTTCGTTATGTTCTCATACAAATTAGATTACCTTGTTAATTAAATATAAAAGGCAAATATTTTCCACGTAACATTTCGGTCTTTTGCTTTGATGTCTGTTCAATAGCTAACAAAAAGCCAACTATTTAATTTCGGAAAGAACATGTTCTGCGATCTATTTGAATTCTATTGAGAAACTGACATGGAGAAAGTCAAACATTATCTAAAAAAAGGCACATAAACTGAAAAGAGGAGAAAACAATCTTGCACCAGCACTACTAACATATATTAAAATCTTTTTAAACTACGCATGACCACGTTTACTAGAATTTATCACGTTTTATTGTAGGCTTATTTATTGTGGTAAATTTTGTCTACGTGTAGAATTGATAATAGATGATCCGTTAAAAGGAATAGATTTTTCCCTATAGATTTATATTACAACTGTGGCATGTTGTAGCTATTGCTTCTAAATGTGCAGGCTGTTGTTTTTCATAACAAATGCTAAAAGATTAATAAAAAAGTCATTATTGGCCTGGTAATGATTAATAAGCTAGCCTTATTATAACAGATGCTACAGTTAAGAACTATGGTACATTTTCATAAGAGCAAATACAAGTCAGAATCGAGAGCCATGTGCAAAATGGGTTCTAATGATGAGTGATAGAAAAACCTGGCCTTCCAAGAGATGGCACAGATTAAGATTAGATTAGATTAAATCATTAAGAGCCTGATGAACTGTTAAGGAGTAAGAAATAAACAATATCGATATATAAAATGCTAAAGTCCATGTAAAGCAGTATTAAATATCTGTTCTGAGTTTGTTACACCACACGGTCCGATTGACACGGGGCCCGGTGTGGCTGCACCAGTTGCACCCCCCTAAGGACGGCCTGCGATGACAGTAACTGCGATTGAGCAGGGAGACCACTGATGTGGTCTAGTTATTAGTAATTAGTGTTAGGGGAGGGGCCATGATCAGTACGTCATCAAGACATGATTTCAGCCCTGCCCTAAAAAAATCCTGAACACAGACTCCACAATTCAGTACTTCATAGTTCATAGTCTTTGTAACGTGTTTTCAGCAATACATTTCTAACATTTAGAATGCGTTTAGAAACAATTCTCTGAACTGCCTTTACACAGACTTTAAGTTAGATTGACTCTCCATAGCATGTTGAATTAGAACATTCTGTCAAACTATAGCCTAAATAATATAAAATACATTATATTATATCCTATGTAAGCAAGTAATTGTTAACTAGGCTATTAATTTATTGCAGTTATGTTTATCAACTAATTTTGTACGTGTGGATGATAGCACAAAAGACCATTTTACAAAAATAAACATATAAACAAACAAAGCTTATGAGAGAGCATGACCCGGGACTCCACTAAAACAGACCACTCTTCAACCCCCCCAATGTTCAAACCAAAACCACGCCCTTGGTTTTATAAGGCTGAAAGGGCCATAAAGTGGTAAACAGGCGTTGGACTCCATAGAGCTCAATGGAAACACAATCAACTGACCTGTGAAAACTCATCGTCTTCATCATCAAATGTGAACGCTTTAAATTTGGAGCTGTTCCAGTACTCATCATCCTCTGGTTTGGCCCGTGTCATCTGAAAAACACTCACAATTTAGACTCGTGTAGACAGCAAACAGTGCTGCTGCAGCTCCATTACTGCGCTTCATCTGATCTGTGCCACCGCAGAGGCTCTCAGCTACACGACACATATCCTAGCAAACATGCCACTTCTTTATTTAGCCATATGCTGCTGTCATCTTAAACTGCCACTTGCATTTCGAGATTCGCCAAGATTGTAATTTGTAAGAAGCATATGCATCCGCATTATTTTGCTGCTTGGAGCATGACAAACAAAAATGGCAATATGATATTATAATATTAATTATAATAACGATATAACACTTACCTTCGAAATATAAGAGTGAAAATCGACACATGAAAAGTCAGATTTCTTTCCTACTAGTTCCTGGTTTTAATATGTCGCCAAAATAAAAGTCCGAGAAACGTTTGTGTGTGTGTGTGTGTGTGTGTGTGTATGTAACTGCTGTATTTGAGATATTAGCATTTATAACAAATTAGTTAATAGAGAATTTGTTATAAATAAAAAAATAAAAAAAAGATAAAATGTTGATAATGTAAAAACGCAACTTTTTTAAAAACAAATTTACAGGGATAATTTTTCCAAGGCACATTACATAATTGTTTTCAGGTATTATTGTTAGCTATTTTTCCCTCAGTAATTCAAACTCTCACTTTAAATTGTTAAATTTTTTTCAGAGAGAGAGAGAGAGAGAGAGAGAGAGTCCTTTACATTACATTAAATTACCCCTTGGAGATTAATAAAAATCCCAAAGATTTTGTAATTGCAATTAAAGTACATACCAATGGATAAGTCAAGTAATATACTGCAGTTCTTGACCAATAATAATGTGATATCAATTAGAAAATAAAGAGCCAGCAGGAAGCAGTTTTGCAGTCATCAAGAGATCTTTTTTTTTTATCTCTTAAAAAAAGAAAAAAAAAGAAAAGAAAAGCAAAAATGCCCATGTGCATTCATCAGTGACTCTTGATCATTCTCAAATGATTACTTACACAAATTACTTGCATTTAAAACAGAAACTCTTCAACAAATGTAATTGAACTTGAAGGTTTATGAAATTCTTAGGAGTATGCAAAAAAAAAAAAAAGAAAAAAAAAAGGCTGTTAAAATTATTGTAGTCAAGAGTGTTCAGATCAGTTAACACAAATCAAATTAAAACTGCCAAAACAATGTAAATTAGAAGTCTACACCGTTCATTTGGACTCAAAATGACCAAAAAAATTATTATTTCCATGTAGCTATGAATGATTAAGAACATTTTCCCAAAACACAAACTCAACAAAAAAGCACAACAGGTACTCTTTTATTGTTTGTTCAAATTTATGTGGCTAACAAGTCAATAATTACAAAGATTTCAACCTGTGATTCATTTTTTTTTTCTTTTAAAGTAAAAGCAGTAGTGTTCTGAGGATAAACTTCCATCTGAAGAAGCAGACGAGTGAAGTATGGGGGAGAAACAGGAGGTACAGGATAAACCATTCACACAAAATCATTTCCTTAGACTAAAAACATGTGCAAGTGTCTTACAGTGTTTCAGAAGGGTGGGGGACAACATAATACATTACCGTCAGCCTCGTCAAAACCACCGAAATTATTTAGCGGACAGTTTATTACGGAAACGAAAGTTGGCACTGAAGGCACACTTGAGTGATAATGGATATGCCGGCCATGCCTGCGGATCTTAAGCATGTCAACAGTCAAACTCATATCAGCGTCCTGATAGAGGAGTCTTTAACAGTGACTGTCCCACAAGGCTGCTCGCATGTGTCACACATAAGAAACCAGAATCAGAGCATGGCTATGGAGAGATAACCTCATCACATATATATTTTTTCACTTTTATTATTAAATAGAGCACACAAAGCAGCAGTAGCAGCTTAAGAGGAACTACTGAAATCCTATGAATAGTTGTAGCTGTGTGCTGTTCTCCTTTGTATTTTTATTAAAACACTTATCTATATGTAAAGTCTTCCTTTTTGTTGCTTTCTTTTTTTCTCCAGGTGAGAAGCTGAACTAGATATCTTTGTGGGAAACATCGAAGTTAAAACATGAATATTATAAAGGCTGGTTTAAATGCAGAACTGGAGAGAGAAAGAGAAATGATATAATAACAAAAGTGCCCTCTGGTTTGGCTTTAAACCCTCAAAGTCTCCGTCACCGATCTACTGCTCATATGAGACATTTTCACCGGTCCGTGACGAATCATGTTACTGGTCCAATTGGTTTGAACGTCACAGTCCTATATCATCCTCGGTTTCTTTCTTCCCGATACGCTCCTCTCTTCGGCCCCCTTGATGAGTGTTCCTGATAATATACATTTAAAAACAGCATAAGAAGTCTCTTTCCCCTCAATTCAGTACTTTGAAGGGAAGCTAAGAATCCAGAAGCAATTCTGACACCGCAGATGTAATGCATGTTCATTTACTAAAGCAAATAATAATAATAAAAAAAACTAGCAGGAGCATGGCATGAAATTAAGATTTCAAATAAAATAAAAGTCCATCATACTGCTAATCTGACCCGGTTAGTGTAATACCACGACATTTCCACCAGGGGGCAGGCTTTTTTCTTTTGGTGGCTTCGCCTATGCCTGTCAGCACACACCCAGCACACTGCTCTTGTGACGATTGAGGCGTCTACCCTGCAGCAGGATTTGGGGTAAACCTTTGGCCCTTGTGGTGGACGAGCAGGTGACTTTTTGTAAGAGTCTTGGCACTTCTTAGTGAGTCCTAGCAGAGCGGATGGATACGGGAGGGTGTGTCTAGGGTGTGTGCGGGGCAAAAAACAAAAAAAGGGAGATGTCCATTTTCAGCCATCCAGGGATTGATCCAGGCTGTCCAGGGTGAGCCGACTGCGGTGGGTTGAGTTGGGGCTCGGGGGGCTGCTGGGGTTGGAGCTATTGGAGGGGGTGGAATGTTTGGTCGAGTCAGAGTCGGGCTGCAAGTATAGAGAAAAAACAAGGATAAAGAAACAAGATTAGCAGATCAGCTGCTTGTTGTCTAGTTGGTTTTAAAATTTTTGCAAAGTATACATGCATTTAGGCCCAAGTCAGTGTTTACAGCAGTCTTATTATTGTTAACTAAAACTATTATAAAATTGTTTTCAGCAATTGAAATAAAGCTGAAATAAAATGTGAATATTATTGAAAAAAGTTAGTATTATGATTACTAAACAAAAACACAATAGAAATAAAAAAGGGCTAATAAAAATGAAAAAACAAAATGACTAAATCTTTAAAATTAAGTTAAAGTATTAGGATTACATAAAACTGAAATAAAAATAAAATTTAATAGAAATATTGGGGGAAAAAACAAAAATGTACACAATTTTTAATACAAATTTGCACATAAGAAAATTTCTAAATCTTAAATTAAAAGTTAAAGTATACTAAAACTGGGGGAAAATTTTTTACATTTCAATGTTGGGGAAAAAAGCTATACATTTACTCTAAATCCTACACTAAAATTAAAATGAAACTAAAAACAAAACAAAAAACAAAGAAATTCAAAATATTAATACATACTATAATATCATTACATTTTTTTTTAAAGCTAAATAGAAAATAATTTACCAACTCTATACTAAAATTTAAATGAAAAAAGCTAATAAAAAATATTAATAAATACTATAATAGTATATAAATAATACTACAATAAAAATGAATGAAAGCTAAACAGAAAAAAAACTAAGCACATAAAATGACAATCTTATACTAAAATGAAAATGAAAATGATATAATTGATACATATTAATAAATGATATAATTGCATAAATACTATGTAATACTAAAATAATCATTTTATAAAACTAAAATAACACTGGTTTACAGCTGTAGCAGGTTCTACTGTGAGAACTGGGGCAGTTATTACAGACGACAAAATCAGGACACAAGAAAACTCACTGAGCGGCCAAAAGCACCTCAAAGCTCCTCCAACCATCCATCATGCATCTCGAGAAGCTTTCAAAATGTGGGGCGAATGAAATAAAACCATATTTGGCATCCCGGGGGAGGTCATTAAGGTAGATGATAGATGTTCTTACCTCTCTCTCAAAGTCTTGATCTTGATCAGAAATACTGCGAGACGACCCTGCTCCTCCAAAATCTCCCCCTCCTTTAAATAAGGTATACATTTCAAGCATTTAGATGGGCAGTTTCAACTTGTCTGTGTGTGTTTAAGGAACGGCACCCACCTGAGGCAGTGCGGGTGATGTGGGTCTTGCTCTTCTGTTGCCGTGAGATGCTGGACAGAGGCCGTGGCTTGTCTTTAGACAGGTCGTCCTGAGAAGAGGGCATCACACTCTGCAGCAGAGGTACAAGAAGTCAGACACATATATAATGTACGCCACAGTCATGCACTTGTGTTATAGGTGTGTAAACACTCTTTTTGACTTTCTTTTAAACAAGATGACTATTGTTAGCACAAACATTTGGTTTGGGTAGTACGTTTCATGCGCAAATTATTACATATATTTTTTTCTTCTATAAACCAGAGAAAACAACATTTTGTCGCTTTTTAAGGAATGTTTTGGATTAATTTTGTTAACCTCAATCAACAGCATTTTCGAGCATTATTTGGAATAGAGGTGTCACAATATATCAGTATATATACCGGTATTGATGATAACCGTGATATATATTAAAAAAAATGAAATATTGATATGTTAGAACTACATATGATGATATCGTAAATAACGCAGCTAGTTGCCACTCCAACACACACGCAAACAATAAAAAAAGACAACAATGCAGTGTTATTGCTAACCACAAGTATTAAAATCATTTATTAATTGAAATAAAGCTGAATTAAAATAAAAATATTAGAGAAAAAAATGAGAAAAAAAAAATGTTAGTTGAAATATAAACTAAATTAACTAATGGTAAAAGCATATAAAATGACTAAAACCTACACTAAAATCAAAATGAAAATTACAAGTATAAAAATAAACGCTAATTAACATTGAATAAATATGATAATAGTATATTAACAATAATACAATAGTTTTTTTAGATTCTGTTAAAAAACAGAATCCCTAAACTTGATTAAAATTCCGCCTCCCTAAACTTGTTTTTTTGAGTGATTCATTAGCCGAAAAGAAAAAAAGTTAATTTGACTGATAAACTGATTTTTTTCAAAATCTGAATAAATCTGATATTATGACAGCCCTAATCTGGAAACAATTTCACACTGAGCAATTGTATCACACTTGTGTCTCATGCTGAAGTATGAAGTTTAGGTTTAGTGGCTGTGTGTATTTTAATGTTTATCATGCCCCACTTTCATGGTAAGAGCCTGTAACTGCTAGTTGACTTCAACAGAGCTTGACATTAGCATATTGATAAGCCAACAGTACAACACTAACAAGTATAAAATTCAAATCAAACATTGGTAAAA